GTGTGTTTTGGATCATAGTCATGTTCCGGGGCGGACTGACAACTCATGGGGCCCCCCCCCCCCCCACCCCCCGGGCAATAGGGGATCATGGGGTCCCTGTGTTCTTGCCCAAACTCAAAAAAGCCTATGAAAAAAAGTACCAGGGGCGGTACTTGTCTGTTAATTCACCGGGATTTATTTATATATATACATATATAAATAAATCCGGTGAATTAACAGACAAGTACCCCAGGGGTATCTCATGGGGCCCCCTACTGACCCCGGGCCCTCGGGCAGTACCCGAGTTCCCAAATGGTCAATCCGCCCCTGGTCATGTTGGAAAAGTGCAGAACAACCAAGGGCACGGAGTGATAGTAACATCTTCTCTTTCAATATAGAGCCATACATCTGTGAATTCATAATACCATCAATGAAATGCAGCTCCCTGACACCAGCAGCACTCATGCAGCCCCACAGAAGGACACTGCCACCACCATGTTTCACTGTAGGCACCATGTACTTTTCTTTGTACTCCTCACCTTTGCAATGCCATACAGTTTTGAAACCATCAATTCCAAAAACATTTATCTCTGTCTCATCGCTCCAGAGTAGAGTTCCAGTAGTCATCTTTTTCAGCATGGGCCCTGGCAAATTCTAGGCGGGCTTTTTTGTACATGGGCTTTAGGAGAGGCTTCCTTCGTGGATGACACCCATGCATGCCATTCCTCTGTAGTGTACGCCATATTGTGTCATGGGAAATAATCACCCCAGTTTGACTTTCTACTTCTTTAACTAACTGCAGTGAACTTGTATGGCGATTTTCTTCAACCCTTACCATCAAGACGCTCCTGTTGAGGTGTTAACCTCCATGGATGGTGATATAAAAAGTGCCAAAATTATATATCAAAATATATTATTTCAAAACAGTGTTTACGGCTTCACGGCTTGGATTCACGTTTTTTCACTTGGTTCACTTTTTACACCAATTACTAAAAGGAAAAATTATATTCCTATTTGGGTACTCACTGGAGTGTTGTCACAAGTTTTGATATATTAAAAGATAATACACTATGTCATCTTTTCTTTTTTTGAGGTTGTATCATCGTGGGAAAGCATTGGAAGGATTGAAAGGACTTTAATTTTGGACTTTTCTTTATATTGTTATTTTTTATGTATAAAAAGGAAATAATGATTTATTGTTTAGCCACTTAATGTGCGGTTTAATGGGATTGATTGCATAAACACTGTTTTGAAATAATATTTTGATATATAATTTTGGCACTTTTTATATCACTGTTGTACATCTTCAAGGGTGAAGGTGTTGTTTGTGCTTTGGAGATTTAATTTTGTTGATTGACTTCAATTTATTATCTAAGGAAGTGGTATTTATATATACAAACCTCCATGGATGATCTGGATGTCTTTCTGAGAAGATTGCAGTTCCAGCTTTGGTAAATTTTTGTATCACTTTTGCTACAGTATTCTGACTGATAAGTAAAGATTTGCTGATCTTCTTGTAGTCTTCACCTTTCTTGTGTAAAGAAATGATTTTCTTTCTCAGGCCTTGTGACATTTTTCTTCCATGTGGTGCCATTGCTGACAGCATGAAATGGGAAGGGGTTTTCTTTGTTAACCACTTGCCCAGGGGCGTATTTGCCGCGAGGCAAACTAGGCATTTGCCTAGGGCGGCACTTTTCAGGGGGGCGGCACGGCTGCAGTGCGGCCCCCCCCCCTTTCCCCCGGAAGGGACATTTCCATAGGAAAGGGACAGGGGCAGGGCCGCCATGGCTGAGGGACCAGTGTAGCAGCAAGATCTGTCCCCCTGATGCATGTCACCGGCTGCAGAGGAGAGCAGAGTGGTGGGCAGATCCCCGGTGTGCGCTCGTAGCGCGTTAGGGGCGGGGCCCACTGTAAGTGCCGGTGGGATGTGCAGGAAGACCAGAAGGAGGAAGCAGAAGAGGATGAGGTCGGGGGCGGAGCCCGCCCGCTCCTTTGCATCGTGGGGGAGAAGGGACACAAGCACCTTGTGATCCTGACACCATCTGTAGGAGCCGCTGCTGGACAGGTAAGTGCTTGGGAGACTGGTGCTTCCTCAGGTCCTGTCTCACTGTCCCCTGATACACTGCCCCCCATCCATCACACTGCCCCCTGCCCCTGTTGGGAATGCAACAGCATGTACTATAATGTACTATATATAGTATTGTGTGTTAATATCACTTGACCAGTAGATGGCACTGTACACTAAAGGTTACTAGTTGTGTATATGTGAAAACTTGTTTGCTCTTCTCTATCATCTCTATCTTCAGGAAGTAATCTGTCTGCTGAGAAATGTGCTCTGTATGTTTGCAACTTAAGCCACACAAGTAAAGTCTGAATTCTGCTATCACTACCAGTGTCTTCTATAACACACATAACCAACAGCCCCCACATGTCACCCTGCCCCACACCTGTTCCACTTCCCCCTCCTGTCCCCCACATTGTCCCACTACCACCCATCTGTCCCCACTACCACCCATCTATCCTCACTGCCCCCCACCTGTCCCTCTGCGCTCCTCCTGTCCATCTGCCCCCCACCTGTCCATCTGCCCCTCACCTGTCCATCTGCGCTACTCCTGTCCCGCTGCCCTGATCCTGTCCCACCCCCCCCCCGTCACGCTGCCCCCATATGTCCCTCTATGCTCCTCCTGTCCCTCTGCCCCTCACCTGTCCCACTGCCCCCCACCTGTCCCACTGCCCCCCACCTGTCCCACTGTGCTCCTCCTGTCCCACTGCCCCTCAACTGTCCCTCTGTGCTCCTGTCCCTCTGTGCTCCTCACCTGTCCCTCTGTGCACCTCCTGTCCCTCTGCGCACCTCCTGTCCCACCTCCCCTCACCTGTCCCACTGCGCTCCTCCTGTCCCACTGCCCCTCACCTGTCCCTCTGTGCTCCTCCTGTCCCACTGCCCCTCACCTGTCCCTTTCCACTCCTCCTGTCCCACTGCCCCGATCCTGTCCCATGACCCCTGTCACACTGCTGCCCCCCACCTGTCCCTCTGCGCTCCTCCTATCCCACTTCCCCTCACCTATCCTTCTGCGCTTCTCCTGTCCCACTGCGCTTCTCCTGTCCCGCTGCCCCGATCCTGTCCCATGCCCCCCATCACGCTGCCCCCTACCTGTCCCTCTAAGCTCCTCCTGTCCCACTGCCCCTCACCTGTCCCTCTGCGCTCCTCCTGTCCCACTGCCCCTCACTTGTCCCAAGTGGGCCTCCGGGCCTCCCACTGACACCAATGATGGGGCACTATTTCCCCCACTGACACCAATGATGGGGCACTATTCCTCCCACTGACACCAATGATGGGGCACTATTCCTCCCACTGACACCAATGATGGGGCACTATTCCATCCACTGACACCAATGATGGGGCACTATTCCTCCCTCTGAAACCAATGATGTGGCACTATTCCTCCCACTGAAACCAATGATGGGGCACTATTCCTCCCACTGAAATCAATGATGGGGCACTATTCCTCCCACTGAAACCAATGATGGCACACCATCATTGGTGTCAGTGGGAGGAATAGTGCCCCATCATTGGTGTCAGTGGGAGGAATAGTGCCCCATTAGTTGTCAGTGGGTGGGGCTCTAATAGGAAGAAGTGGAGCCTAAAGAGGAAGGGGTGGAGTTTGCAGATAAAAGGGTGGGACAAATTTAGATACAGGGGGGGTGCCCGATTTTAGTCTTGCCTAGGGCAGCGCAAAACCAAAATACACCACTGCACTTGCCCTCCTGAGGATTTACCCCCCTTAATGACCAGGCCTCTTTTTTTGCTACTCGGCGCTGCACTAATTCAACTGATAATTGCACGGTCATGCAATGCTGTACCCAAACGAAATTTATGTCCTTTTTTTCACACAAATAGAGCTTTCTTTCGGTGGTATTGATCACCTGTGCGCTTTTTATTTTTCACGCTATAAACAAAAAAAGACCAAAAATTTTGAAGAAAAACGATATTTTTTACTTTCAGCTATAAAAAATATGTAGTAAACTCAAAGTTAGTTATAAATTTAGGCCAAAATCTATTCTGCTACATGTTTTTGGTAAAACAAATCCCAATAAGTGTATATTGATTGCTTTGTGTGAAAGTTATAGTGTCTACAAACTATGGTATAGATACTGCAATTTACGCCATTTTTTTGCTATACAGCGCTGTGCTAGTTTAACCTCCCTGGCGGTATGATTATTTCAGATTTTTGGTGCTGAAAGCGGTACCATTTTTTTGCATGGAAATATGTAGTTTTTTTATTGTAGGCTGTAATTTTTAGGAAAAACTCACTGAAATCTGTCCGAACAAGAGTCTAGTAAACATCCCGGGTATGATAAAATTTGAAACACAAAATCATAAATTATAATTTAATAAATAATCATAAAAATAATATAAAAATAATAAAAAATTTAATTCAATAATATAATCAAACCAAAAACACTGAAATGTGAAATAGAGCGCCAAGTTCGCACATTGCTGAGCTCAGTCGCAAAATCGTTTTCAGTGTCTGATGACGAATTTCCCCCACGAATCATTATCACTCAATTCTGCAAGTGGTTCTGATTTACTATCGCTGTTCTCTAGCTGATCTAAACCGCTTTTGACCTAAAGGGACACTTTTTGGACGCCATGGACATTTCTCAGTTTCCAGGCAGAAAGAACAGACAAAATGCAGGCAGGGCACAGGACAAAGCACTAGGGACAATATGTATGTGAAATTGGTTGAGACAGCAATGTTTTACTAAAAAAAAAAAAAATGACATTTTTTAAAATTTTTAAATTTCCCGCCGCCGCCGGCGGCGCGGCGCCCGTACGTCCCGACGTCACAGGGACAGGACACAGAAGCCGGATGCCGGCATCGGCCGGAGGAGATGGCCGGGGACGCTGCAGGGGACACATCGTGGGAGCGCAGGGTAAGGTAAGTGAAGAACACATGCTGGAGCAGTGCCGCAGGGTAAGCCCGAGTGTAGCTCGGGGTTACCGCTTTTGGTACTGAAATGTTACCCCGAGCTACACTCGGGAATACCGCCAAGGAGGTTAAGGGACAATTGCGCGGTCATGCATACGTACATAAATGAAATTTATGTCCTTTTTTTCACACAAAGAGCTTTCTTTCTGTGGTACTTGATCGCCTGTGTGTTTTTTCATTTTTTGCGCTATAAAAAAAAATGGATGACAATTTTGAGAAAAAATAAAAACAATATTTTGGATTTTTTGCTATAAAACATGTCCAGTAAAAAAAATGATGGGCATTGACAGGCATCACTGATGGGCACTGAAAGGCAGCACTGATATATAGCACTGATATGTGGCACTGATGGGCACTGGCACGTGGCACTGTTCAGCTGGCACTGATGGACTCTGACAGGTGACACTGCTGAGGCCACACTGATCATCAGGGCACACTGATCATCAGTGCCCTGATGATCAGTGTACATATCCCCTCCGCGGAAAGCCGATTACCGGCTCTCCTTTCCTCATGAGCTGTCAGCGTGACAGCTCGAGAGGAGAGAAATGCCGATAACCGGCATTTCCCTGTTTACATGTGATCAGCTGTGATTGGACACAGCTGATCACATGACCGAGCCGACATCTTCGGCTCTTTTCATGGATCGGAGGGACACAGAGCACCGCCGATCGCCACGCTGCGTGCTCCCTGAGCCGCGCATGCACAGTGAGAATGGCAGGACATCATATGACGTCCTATCAGAACGAGAGAACCACCTTGCGCCCGTCATTGGATTATATGGCAGGCGGGAGGTGGTTAATGAATAATTAGACTCGTAGTTGAATTCTTGTTAATTAGGATTTTGTTGTCTAAAATTTAGCATTGCTCCTAAGACTTTCGTGGAGGTGTATTCATTTTTGCAACATGGTCTTGAATGAATTTGTGGAAAAATACTTTGTGTGTGCAAATTAACAAATCTTGTTTGCAATCAATGGCCCGCATTTGTGGGAGTATTTTGTAGTATAGTGTCCCATAGAAAATGTTGATTCTCAAAGGAAAGTAAAGGTTTTCTGACAAATCTGTTGGGGTGTACTCATTTATGCTGAGCACTGTATAAAAAAATATAGAAGACACAAGTAAGCATGGTCCAGCAATCAAACAATTAACTAATGAATTAATTGCAAATGCACTCCCACTACACTAATAAGAGCCTACACTCTTTGCCTTCTCATACTAACTTGTCATATAACGCATAAATAAAAAAAAACAAAAAAAAACAAAACACAAAAACTATTCATCAACAAAACAAGCCACACAAATCTCCTCCAACCTGCAATCCGCCAACACAGATCCAGCAACGTCTGCTGGATAACCGTGCAGGAGAGCACAGGGAAGGAGGCAATCAGCAAAATACAGCAGGACACCCTCACAAACTAAGTGCACATAATGTCACAATATAAGAGATACACAGGATGTCTTTTCCTCCTTTGACAGGCTGTGTAGCTAAGAAACCATCCACAGTGCTACAGACAACCAATGATGACCTATAACAACCTAAAACAAACATTTAAGACATGACAAATATATGTTAAGTGAAACAAAATACCCAAATATTCAAAAACAAACAGATAAAGTTAAAAGCAAAATATGAATTAAAGATTAA